TTTTATGAGTACCTGAATCAAAAGCAAGATTTGTAGTGGCACGAATACCTAAATGAGCATATGCAAAGGAACAGCCTCTGAAAAAGCTGTAGCAGTGAACTTCAAATGACTAATGATTCAGCCATACTTCTCATACTCAACCCTGGCAGCTACAAACTGTTCTCCCACTAACTTCTCTCCACCCTGTCTTTGTTCACCTTGTGAGGAGGTGGCTACATTAGCATTTCCACCTTTTCTAGTTTCAAACCTTTTTCCACCATTTTTTTCTTGAGTCTAGCAAAAATGAGCTCTGGATGCAGCTTCCAACAAGTGTCTTTAGTGTTTAGGCTTCTTGCAATATTCACAAATAACATCTTTCTTCCCCGTGTTAACCTTTGGTTTCATCCCGGCATTGGCATAGTGATCAACCTACGACTCGACAGACTAAACAATGTCATCTACTCTCCTCATTGCTCACCATAGCATATGCCTGAGACAAAGTCACCTCATTCTTTGCTCATTTTGCCTCACAATATCATACTTTGGTTTCTCCCCTGTCTTAGATTATTCACATCATGCTTCAATTTGTAAGATCGAGCAACATTAGGGTTTTGGGAATAGGTCTCCATGACACTATCCCACACTTCTTTTGCAGTTTCCATCCACAAGTAATGTTGACTAATGTGTGGTTGCATAGAATTCACTAAACAACCCACTACTATGTAGTTCTCCTGCATCCACCTTTCATAGGTAGGATCATCCTCCTCCGATTTCTTCCTGCTCCCGGTAATGTAACCCCATTTCTCTCTACTACATACATGTATCTTTTTGTCCCATCTAACTTCACAGTAGTCACAAGCCCAAAAAAGATTCTCCACAGACCCCCCATGTCCAAACCCGGAATCTGTGGAATATTTGGTCTCTCCTCCAATTTGCTCCATTGAGTGAACAAATGCAAACAAAAATCAAATTAGGGTTTTACTAGGCTAGATTTACTGCTCTAAGCAAAGAACAACCCTTCAACCTTCCAAAAACAAGGTTTCACAGGACCTCACAAGATGGGGAGGAAGAGAGAAACTTCAACCTCTCTTACTAGAGGTTCTAGAACTCAGTCCAACTAAAACCGCCCTCAATAGAAATCAAAAGTCTTACCTCTGATCCCCAAGCACCCGATCAGTTCCCCATACACACTGTGTATGGGCAAAGAAAAGAGAAAGAGGTCGAAAGTGAGAACCCGCTCTGATACCAAGTTGAGAAATACACCTGTAGTAATTCAGAAAATGCAAGAAAAAAAAAGAAAAAGAGGGAGAGAAAGAAGAAGAAAAAAGAAGAAGAAAGAGGTTTTAGCAATAGGTTGTGGAAGAAGAAGAGAAGGGAAGAGAGAAAAGAAGAGTTTGGTCTCTTCTCTCTAGCCTTCTTGATCACCTTTTATCAACTTAATTCTAAAACTAGGTACAATTACTTGGATGCCCTTAATGAGGTGACCAGCACTAAAGAAATAATTAAAGAGAACAAAAAAAGGCCCATAACCAACAAACATAAACTTAAGCACTATTTAAGAGAAATAAGAAAACATTAAGGCCCATTCTCACTACAATTTAATTGGACATCAAGACCAAAAACAGTTTTGGTCACAGAAGAGAAAAATTTTGGTGGTAAAAAAAATCCATTAAAAGAAAAAAAAAAAGGTATAGGAATAGATGATAAGAAATCGCACAAAAGGACAAAACACCATAATAAAAACAGAAACCAAACACCCCTCATTCACACACACCAAAAATACTCCACTCAAATGCCAAGTTATAAATCTCAAACTGTCAAACACAAAATAAATATGTAGCCCCTATTTGCAAATAATCAGCCCAATCTCCCCCCCCCCTCCCCAATCCTCCAAAGACAAACAATAATATTTTACTCTATTATCTTTGTATCGCTTGGTTATTACTCCTCTTCCCCCACCTCACTAGGCAAAAAATATAGTTTACAAGCCGCATCCCAATCCCACTCCATGTAAGGCTGCATACATTTGTCCCTTCCCAGACCCCAATTGGTAGGAGCCCTATGCACTAGGTTGCCCTTTTTTATCCCAATCCCACTCCATGAAAGAWCTTATAGCAAAATCCTCACCTCCCAAGAAGAAAGATCAATATCTTACTAACATAAACTTCCTTTCCAATTATCTTTTCCAAGTCAAATTTCTACTAAACCTTCCTATCTTTGTCAAAGCTCACCCCTTCATCTACATCCTGCATCTAGGAGTCATCCCCATTACCTTACAAGTCTTTCCTTTGAACTTCTACAACTGTCTTCTTATTAGAATCCAAATAGAATTTTGAATTTACTCCCAAAGTCGCATGTTTTTTGAAAGGAAATAGTATAATTATATTAATTTAAAAGAGGGGGACCAGACTCTGTGAGCTAATACATACCATTTACAATCAATAAGAAAGATGAGAAAAAAAAATCATAAACCACTGATTTGCCTCCATTGATCACAAAAAGACTGGACTGAGATTACCCCTAAACTCCTTTGTACTGCATGCTCATTTAACCAAGTCATATTATCCAAATAATTTTGCATATGATCAGATGTCAAGCTGTCAAGCTTTTTTCCTTCATCTTTCTGATGTTGTATATTGTCCTTCACAGCCCTCCACTTATATGCCATCTTGAACATATTACACAGGCCTGCCACATAAAAACCATCATTCAAATGAGTGTTTTTATCTCTTCTCCTAGACTCTCTGTGGTCTTCAGCATTGCCATTTGCAAGCCTTTTTTAACCCAAATTACGCCCACTATTTGGCAAACCAGGTAACTATCAATATAAAAGCTTTTCTCCCCCTCATCCTCAGCCATTTTTTCTTCCACTTCTGCTGCCTAAATGTCCCCACAACACCCTACCGCTTCTTCACCTTCACTAGTAGCTTTTTCACATGAATTTGGATCTTCATCATCAGGTTTAGAAACTACTTCTCTATTTGATTCTCTTGTTGAATCAAACTGTTGTACATCATTCCTAACAAACTGAAAAGTTTTCTCCCTACTTTTCTCTAATTTGAAAACAAAATCAATTCTACATTCTAATGCAAACCCATGGAATTGAAATATACATCTTTAATATTCTCATATTACAGAAGTTATTCCATTTCCTAGTTATCTTTTGGAGGGACTAGAAACCATATATATTCTTGTATCCAAAGTATATTCTGAACATTTTGATATTAGGACACTATGGATGTAGCCAAGGACCAAAGTATCGGTATTGAGTATCGTATCGAACAGCTAAGATACGGATACGGATACACTTTGGAAATGCATGGATACGGACAAAAATATGGAAACACTTGAATACATTAGGGAAATGCATACAAATTCCATAAGTATATTAATAATACTAAATTTAATGTCAAAATAAACACAAGTAATGTATAAATACATAGAAAATGTATATTTTAATGATATATATGAAGAAATACAATACAATTAATTTAGTGGGATGCATAGATATTATACAACTTTATTTATAATACATTAATCAAGAGTCTTAAGACACATATTATATAAATTTCTATAAATTAGTACATGCACAAATCTATTATTATTTATTTTCTATTAAAGTCCAAAGGAAAAACATATGCAACAATTATATTTGAATTATTATATCAATTATTTTATATTTTACTATTTTTAATTTTTAACATTAGCAAAAAGGTCAACTAAAAAGTTAATTCTCAAATGCTTGGTAAATAATATTTTTATTTTTGTAAACAATAAATATGTTATTATAGAATGTAAATTAAAATATCAATTAATAATTTACAAAAATATATAATATTAACATATATYAAATCTATTAAAACTTTGAAGATACATATCATATGTAAATTCATAATTTTTAATTACTAAAATAATTATTCCATTATTAATATTTTTGTCTTTAAATTTTCTAAAATATATGATCAGATTCAATTTATATTATACTCTCGAGTATTATGTAAACAATATTTTTATTTTTGCAAATAATAAATACATTGTTATTTAATACAAATTAAAATATTAATTATGAATTTATAAAATTTTTAAGATACATATCATGTGAAAATTTATAAATATTGAGTACTAAAATAATTATTCTATTGTTAATATTTTATTTGTATAAATTTCTTGAGATTAAGAAGCATTTTTTATATAAATGTGAATTTAATAAATTATTTATTTTATTAGTTTATAAAATATTATTTTGAATATTATCATTTTTAATTTGTTGTTAAAGTTATTGAATATAATATATGTTATTTATTTGAATTGATTGTGAATGTTAAAGTGGGTAAAAGTTTATGTATTTCATTTATTATCAAAGAACAGGCAAAGGCATAGTGGTTAAGAGCATGTTTAAGTCTTTGGGCGCTGGTGACTTGAGTTCAAAATACACTGGCCTCTTTTTTTATAGTAAGCGCGAATCTAACATGTGTTCGTCAAAATGTCAGATACGCCTCTATATCACTGAAGTATCAGACTGTATCGATCGATACCATACGATATGCACCGATATGGTGGCATATCGGACCGATACACATGACTAGAAGGATACACCTCTAGTTGTAGCATATCCTTATCAATGCCTTCCAATACCAATACGATGCATCCAATATGGGGTGTATCGTATCAATATTTTAAACCTTGGATGTAACACTCCTATGACAACATGACATAACAAAACCATCATGAAATGCATTGTAAACCCCCAAGTCTCTCATCAATGCATGCAAATTGCAAAATACCTTCAATAACTTAGTGCAATATGGCTTAGCAAACTATGGAACAATCATCCCCAAGTGAATAGGAATCAAGTCTGAAGAAAAAGGATTCATGTCTTGTTTGGATAATCATATCATATTATATCAAGCCAAGTGATAAACAAAATAATCATAAGTTATCAACGCCATGTATTTACTCAATGTTACAAATGGCATATATGCTTTTGATTCCTGTTTGAATTACAATGTTAGTGCAGGGTTAAATGGGAACAAAATTTGGAAGTCAAACTAAACTTAAAAAATTTTATTCAAATGAAGTCAGTACTCAAAGTTTCAAATTATGCTCAGGTACAGTGAAACATCATCTAACAAGTGAAAAAATGAAGTTAACTTACAAGGCCAAAACTCAATAAAGGCCCAAAAATTTCCACCAGAAACTTCCAACAACTCCCCAGATCACAGAATTGATGAGGGCCATTATAAAGCCCAGTCTGAAAACATCAGGAAGGTCTACATAACCCGCTGTTAAAAAAGGGAAAAGAATAGTCATCAGTTGATGTGAAGTCACAGATGCTAAATATATAAAGGAACAAAACGAGTATAAAGTATGAAAACAAAGGCAGTCATGCCATCTTCACAATTTTAGACCACATGTACATAAAAGAAATTATTTTCTGAACATAAAGAATAACAGTTAAACCACATTCAACTTTTGAACCCAAATAGGACTCCTGAATATTGAAGGAACCATAAGACAAAAGCTGAAAGAATGAAAGAGATGCAATGATGGAGTAGCACCTCCATAATAAACTGCTGCCTGACCACTGCTATAATGTGTTAATGCACCAAAGAGATTGGTGTTATATGCCAAAGCCAGTGCAGCCAACACACCATGTACTCCAGATGCCAAGTGCATGGCAAGAAATGCAGAGAACAGAGCTCCTACATGACCAGTCTGACTTGCAAATAAGTAGTGGATGAAGAAATAAGCTGCCTGGAGAACACCAAATGCAGCTGGCCAGCTCAATGATAATGACTGAAGGGATTTGGCCACACAACTAGACATCCATGTTACTATACCAAGATTTGTCAATTGACCTGCCATGCCAACAAGAACCGCAAACCAAGCTAAAGTATCCCAAGCTGATTTTTCACTTAAGCAATCATCCCATTGCAGAACTCCCAAGAGCAGGAGAATGGATAACCCAAGCATTGCTGCAACTACACTTGCTATACCAAGAGTATCTCTACACACAGAGCAAGCCTTATCAGTATTCCAAGACCCAGATAAATGTGCACATATTATCATTGAGTGTTTAAGGAATTCAAGAACATAGTAAGCACCTGTATAATATGCATAATATATGTCAAATTTTGTATTTTAAACAGAAATGAATTGAATGACATAATTTAGTGTGGGAAAACTTATGATTTATTTTCATAAAAACATGTGGTAGATGGGTAATACAGATTTAAAAAAAAAAAAGGATGTTTTATTTTCAGATATATTTTTATAATAATATAACCATAGTTGTATTTATAGATATTAGTATTCATAAAGATTTTTTATCAGAATTAATATTCTTAAAGATCATACCTACATTTAAATATAAACATACCATTTTTACCAAACATGAAATCACCTTTAACTGATCTTTTTTTACCATTAACCTTGAATTTCATTAATGAATAAAAGAAAACCCCAATCTCCAGATAGGATAGACAAAAGACAATACAATCAGCCCTTGTCTGGTGTCTAGCCGTCTACCTAGCAATTTTTCCAATATTACACTAAGTTGGAATTACATTGGCCCATTTATGCCTGACCAAATACTTTACCATACTTTTTATTTTTGAAACTTAACTATAAATAACCCCTTTCCAGTATTATGCTCATGGCATATGCATATTTACTAGACAAGCTCAAGAATGCTATGTCAGTATGTTGGAGAAACTAAACTGATAAAAAGATGCAAAACCATACAACTATTTAACAAGTATTATGTAACTTGGAAACAAACCTCTATTGATAGATGCAATTTCATCATTCAAATTAAAAGGAACAATGAACATTTTTTCACAAAATCAACAGCAGGCACTGCRTGGATGGGTGAAAAGCAAAGCCATTTACTCCAGAGGCAAGAATCTAATAGGGTGAACTAACTACATTATATAGATTCCATGCATGAAAAATCATGAACTAATTCGCATAAAAATAAGAGACCTTAAGACAGTGAATGGTCTGAATTACAATTTACAGTTAAACTTCATTGAATAGTTTAATTAAAAAATAAACTCAAATGGACTGAAAACAATGAAGAAGCAGGGGAAATGGCCGTGAGGCAAAGCTCTAAAGATTGTGACATTTTTCTCTGAGCATATGGAGAACATTTAGTTGACTATTCTGAAGTGGTGATTGAGAATATGATGGTTAAATGTATATGAGTCAATAACAGCARATGATTGAACCATTGAACCCTGAATTTCTAGTCACAATGGTTCACATGTCTTTCTTTTGGTAGAAGTTCAACATCTGGTCTGGGTTTCACAATTTAATTAACCTATATCATGGCATTTGCAAATGCAAATGAGCTAAGATTTTCCACTTTATCCAAAGAATCAAGTGATCATTTGATTCCCATAGACACTTACAACAATAAGTGCAACACCACTTTGTATCCTTAGCCACCATTTTCACATCCATCGCCCTGAAAAAGTTGATAGGCCCATTAATCAAGTTTTCTCAAGCTTCCTGAGCCCAACTTCACAATGTGCATTATGTTCCTACTCCTAACTCCAGCATTTGTATTTAATCAACAAAGTGAGGCATTCACTTAAGAATTGTCTATCCAATTAAACAACACTGAAATTTAATGGGCATCAAGAATRGAAAGGAAAACAGATTGAAGCATCTATTCACAGAGGGCCACAGAAGCATCAGTTCTATGATTTGAACCTTAAGGTTGAACCAAATGACAAAGTTTCCCATCTTACAATTAATTGGAAAAAGTTGTTCCTGGAGTACAGTAGCATGAGAACCAAATACAAACAGAAAAATTTATGAGTATAATCTTAATTAATATATTTATACATGTAGGCCAAAATAGGTGATTTGCATTGTTATTCCACCATAATCTATCAACAAAAAAGGTGGATTTGCATTGCTAAATGATAATTCAATAATATGAACCAAATGCTGAGAGGTTGTTGTCAAACATTATGACAAAATAAATTAGGCAAACAGATCCAGCCAGAGACTGTAAGGAAATTAGGAATTAAAATACTCGCAAAAGAATAAAGCATAAGAACAAAAGTAGTGCTACTTACCCAAATACCCACAAGGAAACAGCAAGGAGCATTGTACAGATCATCACCCATTCATTCCTTGTGACAGGACCCATCTGCTCCAGTTTCTTTGTAGCCATAGCAGGAGCATCTGGTGTATCTTTGATTTCAGGGGGGTAGATCTTATACAGGACTAAGGGAGTAACCAGAAGAGAAACAAATGCAGGCAAACTAGCAGCCTTGAACCAGGAAACCCATGGACTTGCAATTTTCACCCCAAGTTCCTCAGCCAACTTGAGGCAAAGTAGGTTTTGAGCTGCAGCAGTTAGGAAAAGAGCACTTGAGTTACCAGCGGACTGTCACGCATCAAACAAGAAGAAATAAGTCATAAAGATATCGCTAGATAATGCTAAACCAAGAGAACAAAAAATATGAAGCTCACAAAAAATAATCACAAGTAGAAATAAAGTTTAACCACCAGACGGTGCTGAAAACATGTATGTGTCGTTAGCACAATTTGTTTACCTAGAAGAAACAAAACAAAGTCTTGCCCTCTTATAGATAATAACTGGAGCACCATAACTATCATACCATACAGACCAACCATGGCATTCCAATTGCAAGCTAATCATACTATACATGAAACCAGAAATTCAGAAAAGGAAAATTTTCTTCTTCTTTTTTTGTTTCTTAAAGTATCCATGTATCTGTTTGACTTTTCAGAAAATTCAATTAATCAAATGGTTAGGATCAAAACAATGAACGGTTTGAGCGAGGACATTGCCAAGCTACAGCCCACTGATTGAATTGGTTGAATGGGTACGCCGTCTGGAGTTTATATTGTCTCAAGTGAAGAATAGTTCACCTTTACAGGTCATGAGAAGGATAAAGGAGGCAAATGAAGAGGAAGAATACGGAATGATCTTGAAGCAATTGAAGCAGAATAGAATGTTAACCTGGAATTGGGACTGAACCAGATAGGAACCAAGCCTTTTGGAAGAGGGATCCCCCGGTTTACTGCCGGCAGAAAGAGACAACGACTTAATAATCGGCAAGAACACTCCTCCAGCTCTTGCAGTCGTACTCGGCATCGCTGGAGCAATAAGCGCTTCACTAAGCGTCAATCCGTAAGACAATCCCAACGTACTTTTTCCAAGCCACTTGACGAAGTAAGTCGCAATCCTATCACCAAGGCCCGTCTTGACGAATCCCCGAGCAAAGAAAAACGAAATGACAATCAACCAAATAACCTCGCTGGTGAATGCCCCAAAAGCAGTTGAGAAAGATAGGGTTTTTGTAACAATTGAGGTCGTGAGACCAAGAAACGCCCAAGCACCGACTGGAAGAGGACTCAAAACCAGTCCGGCTATGGTCGACAAGAAGATAGAAAGCAACTGCCATGCTTGCGGAGTGACTTCAACTGGTTTTGGTACGAAGAATCGAACGATAACTCCAATGGCGACTGATATTACGAGGGGGATGAGCTTCGCTCCCTGAGGACCAGGACCAGAGCCAGAAGCAGAAATCTGTACCTTCTTGTCTGAGGAAGAGGAGGAAGCTTTAATGGTTTTATGAGAAGTGTAGGGTTTAAGAAGAGGTGCAAATGGCTTCGGTTTGAAGAGAGAGAGTCGAGCATGAGAACCGAGAAAGGAGGTTGAAAAAGATCTGAAATCATCGATTGGTCTGATGGATGGTGCAGGAGAGATTGACGGGAGATATTTGCAACAAGGCGATCGAGATCGCCGGGATAGAGAAATACGAGAGGAAGAAGCGAAGGTCTTGACGGAAGGTGGGTGAAGAGCGAAGCTCTCCATCGTTGAGATGAGGTTCTATGCTACCTCTTCCTCTGTTGTTCTCCGAGACCCTCGAGAGAAACGCCGGAAGGCGCGGAACCTCCAATTATGGAATAAGTAGCAATCGAATATTGACACATGAGGAGGAAGATTGATAGTGGAGCTTAAGTAGTGTATGAATTCATATATAAATAATGATGTTTGTATAATCGCATCTATAAAATCGTAGCCATTCGATTTATGGACTGAAACAATGGGACTCAAGGAATCCATCAATTGAATGAGCGGTTTTATACGAACTGTTCCTTTTTATCCCTTCGAGAATTTAAGGCCTCTTCTTGTACTCTTTTTTTTTTTTTTTGTCAGCGATTTTACAAATTACAACTCTTCTCTTTGGTGAATCACGATCCTTTTGTTTCTGTCAATGGAACGATGACACTTGGAACAAATAGAAAACGCCACGTGGATATATATATGACGTCAACATTCGGGCAGCCCGTCCGCTTAACCACTAAATCATTTATTTGCTTACAAAATTATTTACTTAACCCGATGATCCGATTGGTTAAACCATTGAATAATTGACCTTAATAGATTATGAGGTAGCCTTTCTGTCATTARTAACAATAATTCACATTTATCTTGTTTTTTTTTTGTTTTTTTATAATTGAAAAGAGAAGTAACAACTACCAGCGGATTGGGTCGGGTTTATGGTGAACCCGGGCCCGATCCTAAACCCAATCTTTTTAATTATAGCCCAATCTATACTGTAATTTGATGCATTTAGGTTGGGTTTGGGCCCTGGTCAAGTTTGGATTGGTCGATAAATTCACTCTAAAATTATACATATATTTATGTATATATGTAAATATGTATAGTTGGGTCAAGGTTTTTAAAATTGGATTGGACAATGAACTGTTCATGGGTCTGGTTCCCGAGTCGAGTGGTCCAATCATTCGAACTGAATAGATGGCCCATTCTAACAAAAGAAATAAAAAATGACCAAAAACCGTTGGATGATTCAAATGGTTCAACCGCCTAGGTTAATGGTTTGCTAACTAAATCAATAATTTTTGGCCAAAAAAACGGTTTTAGGATAAAATGGGTGACCAGTTCCTAGTTTTTCCAGTCCAACCCTCCAATTTGGCCTGGTTTTGAAAACCATGAGTTTGGGCCATGTTCAGGCTACCTAAGGGCTAATAGGCTAGGCCCAACCCAAAAATAAAAAAAAATAAATAAATAAAACTTGACTTATTGAGCCTAAATCTGACCCGATGACCAAAAATCAAAACCTAGCCCATGTAAAAATTTGGACTGCAGTTTAGGCTCAAATTGAACTGCCTAAGTTGCACCCCTATATGAAACAAGCTAGGAGGAGAGTTCCAGACTTAGCCTCCTGGCCGGGCGATGATATGTACTGGCTTAATATAGGACCTATGCTCGTGGACAAGTTTTACAATAGAAAACAAGTTGGTCAAAATTTGTATATTTTTTTGTAGTTGTAGTGTTGTACTAATGTAGTAGAACACTTATTATGCACTTGTGCAAGTATTAATCAAATTTATCAAAAAAAATTAAGTATTGATCAGATATATGGTATTTGAATTTGAATTTTTATGAATTGGGAGGGAGATGTTCGGAACTGATATATTAAATTTTCAATGTCCCCAAACCCTAACCAAGCTCCATGTAATCGAGGACATGTTCGGAACTGATATGCTGATTGTTCTAATAAGATTTCTCAAATTGAGTTTTTTAAGATCAATGATTTTTCTCATAAAGCAGAGAAATTGTTTGTTTGGAACTAACTGCCATGTCAAACGATTTCTCATAAATTTGTTATGAATTTATTTGATAGTGATCTTTGTGTTTATGGAAACTATTTCTCATGTTCATGTCAGATGGTACATCATAAAAAAAAAGGATCGGTCTTAAAAAAAGAAGAATAATTGAATTTGTTGATTTTTCTTAAATCATTTTCTTATCAATTGACGATTTCTCAGAAATTAACCAACCAAACACCAAAATAATCACCACCTGAAAATTTTCAAGTGAGACAACCTACCTTGCAGGGAATGGCTAAACTGTTACCCACCAGTTTAGCCACCATTGGTGATCACATAAGCCGATCAGAAGTGAAACACAGATGTAGAATTACCGAACTTGTGTAACGCCCTATTATAAGGGGGAAATCACATGATTTTATGTTTTGCTATGCATATATAACGCATAAGGCACCTGTTCATATCAACATGTGATGTATTTTCACACTAATGCTGTTGGATTGAAGAAAAAAAGTAGGGAAAGGAAGGGAAAGGTAGGGAATCTTTTTACAAATTTGTATAGGTTTTCCTAGTTTTTCCTTCAAACCAGACAGAACTTAGGTAGTAATGTTTACAACCAATGGCCGGGTTGACTCAGCCGATTGGATTGGTTGATTCATCATCCGGCCCAGGTTTTGGGGTTCTAGCTCCAAACCGCTAATTTTCAAAGAATGTTATTCACTTATTTGATAAGTAACCCAAGATGAATACATAATTTTAGGCTTCAAAATTGGGGTTCTAGCATATAAGGACAATTTTTGGGGTTTAATATCAATAAAAGTAATATATTTAAAAAATAGGTAACTTTTTAAAAATAACATCAATAAAGGACAAAAAGACTATTCATCTTCTTCTTCTTGTCATTTGTTCATTAGAGCTGCCGTCCGCCGCCTGCCACCGCCGTCCATTGCTACCTATCGCCGCCTCCACCCCCAACAACGTTGCCGGAGACAAAAGTGGCTGTGGCAGCATTGGTGGTTTATCTATCCAACACCGCCACCTCCGCCTCCAATAACATTGCCGGAGATGGGTGGAGACAGAGGTGGCAGTGGCGGCGGGCAGAGGAATGACTACCAGCACCGTCGCCACCACCTTTGACAACGTTGCCAGAGGAAGAGGTGGGCGGAAGCGGTGGCGAGCGGTGACGGACAGTGGCTCTTATGAATAAATGGCAAGAATAGTAAGATGAACAGTGTTTTGCCATTTATTGATATTATTTTTAAAAAGTTAATCTATTTTTTTATTTTTTTATTATATTAAACCCCAAAAGTTGCCCTTATATTACCCCTTCAAAATATCATACGCATTGACCCAATTTACCGTTAAGCCGCTGATCAGCCTTTTGTTTTTCTAAAACTTCATTAGATAGTGTTGCAAAGGCTACATTTGTATGCGTGTAAGGTTTCGATTATTGGCTTACGATTAACAGAAAAATCACAATTTTAGAATAAACGATTTTTTTATCAACCATGTCCACGAGGCAAAGAAACACTACTCTTTATCATGCTAAGATGTTAAATCACGATTGACTCTCAATATCCTGCACAGAATTTCCAGAAGACTCTGACACGTGATCCAAGAGAAGAGACATGGGATCGGCTCCTGTGGTTGTCAGTCGTCACCTCTTAATTCTTAAATTGCAAGTTTGCAACATACCAGTACAACCAATCAAACCTGAAAAACCTGTGGTCCCCTTAAAAAAAATAAAAAAAAAAACTGTGGTCGTCGGTGTGGTTTTTGGGAAATGACGAGTTGCCACCGCTTACAGTTGGTTCCGTGGCAAATGCAAAATAAATTACGATAAACGATTCACATTGTTTTAAATTACATTTTAAAATCTCTTATTATTTACTAAATTTTAAAACAAAATAATTGAGTATCSGAACTTTCAAAATGTGTTAATCTAATACATGTCATTAAGTAATATTTGAAAAGACAATTGCCTTTCAAGTATCATTTAATTTTCTTTATTAATCATTTAAATATTAAAAAAAATGATGAATAATTCTAAATTCTTTTCTATTCTATTCAAAGAATTTGAGGTCACATCTAAGTGGACATTTTGATGATTTCAACTTTATTGAATGGAAGAGGCAAGGATTTGAGATTGTTCATTTTTTATCAACGTTTAGATGATTGATAAAGAAAGTTAGATGACACTTTGAAGGATATGTATGTCTTTTCAAGACGACTAGTTAACCGTAGGTATTAAATTAGCACATTTTAAAAATTTGAATACTAAATTATCTTATTTTAAAATTTATGAACTAAAGTAATACTAACCTTAATATACAGGGTACTAATTGAAAATTTTCCTTTTTTTTTAAAGGTTTCAAATATAATTTCTAATACACGCTTCATATAATTGTATAGGAATTAGGGAGTGGTCAGTGGTCACTGCTCAACGAAAACAAATGTTGGGTTTTGTATCTAATTTCTATAATCAATTTAGAGTCAACTCTTTCAATCAACTCAACCGTCTATGAAATGCACATTCGGTGGCCACAGAAAAGTGTTATATATATATACAGTGGAACATTGTGGTTTGGATTTAGAAAATGCCAAGGAAACGTAAGTCGTGCGGGCAATTCACGTGGGCATTTTCGTCAATAGTTGACTTTACTCCTTTTAATTTGATAAAAGAGCCTATTCCCGGTGCATATTATAACTACGTCATTGCAAGTTAGAAAAAAGTTTTCATAAGCAAACGAGGCGTGAAGTTGTCGTTCATGATGAAACGAATAGGATAGAACCTATACTCTTTTTTAAGAAGAAGGAGTGTTTTTTCTTTTTCTTACAATTCCCATTATTTTAAGAGCAAAATATTTTCTCTCATATCAATGCATATATGTAAAGGACTTTAGCTCGATTTTGTTAACAAGCTCGCAAGTCATAAAGGTTCATATGCACTTATGCATCGAATCGGCCACAGAGAAGATTTCATTTTTCAATACCAAACAAACTCTCGTTAGATTTCAATACGCAACTCTTTGTAGCCTCTTTGGTGAAGAGTTGATACGGTTTGAGCCCCGCTATCGGCTCTCACCAGTCACCACTCACCACTCACCACCACCAACTCTACTCTTTGTAGGATGTAGCCTTTTTGGTGAAGAGTGACTCTTTAAAGAGGTCAAAGGTTCAAAATTTCAAATCGGCTTCCACCACTACATTTTCGAAAAGAGTTAATTAATGGTTGCTGAAAAGTAATGGACTGTGCCAAGAAAAATTGAATACGGCCCTGTGGGGAAAATTTTGGTTGTTCGTAAAATACAGTCTAGACTGCTTTGGAAGCTTAATGTGAATGATATCGGGTAAAATAGTATTT